CCCTCCGCCCCCCGCGTGCGAGCCCTGCGCCTCCCTCTCCGCGCGGGGACCGCCCATTGGCATAAGCGGGAGCCCGGCCATCACCCGGCGCCTCACCCGGCGCCTAACGATTCCCTTTGGAATATGGGTTCCAGCCCTTCGGCTTCGCTTTCTTTTGGAACCGCGTCCACCGAGGTCCGCTCATGGACGTGTCTGGGCCGCTCCTCACTCCCTGCCCCCTCCGGCCCTGGACACCTGGGTGCCCCTTTCCATGAAGCGCCCTGTCCACAGGCCCTCCGAGGGGCCTCTTCCTGCTTTCTCCGCCCAACCGTGGTGTTAACAATGGGTATCGATCAGCCAGTGTTCCTCGGACGGGTGTGTGTGTGTGTGTGTGTGTGTGTGTGTGCGTGTGTGTGTGTGGAGTGCAATCTTATGCAAAACGGGACCGGGGCTAGACTGGTTTGTTGGCTGCGCTTGGAACTGCCCTGTGTGTAGGCAGTTGTCAGACGAGCTCCTCCACCCTCCGGAGGGGTCACTGTGCCCGGCGCTGGGTGATTCACTGTCACCCAGATCCCAGTCCTCCCCCCACCCCACCCTCCAGAGGGATCACTGTGCCTGGCGCTGGGTGATTCACTGTCACCCAGGTCCCAGTCCCCCCCTCCCCCCCCGCCCCCCAGAGCGGATGAATGGGAGCTGGTGGGAGCGTTGGTGGGCTCCTGTCTGTTCCCAGCCTGGAAGGTTCTTCCCACCCACTCATCCAATCCGGGCCCCACGCTGCCCTCACCCTCCTCCCCTGAGGTGCGTGACTGAAACACCCACAGGGTGAAGGTGAAACCCAGGGCTGGATGCGGGGCCAGATGGCACCCCGCCCCCTCACAGCTGAGTGCCAGCGGGCTGGCAGAGTGCACAGGGACCCGGAGGGAGTGAGGGAGTGCTCTCTGCAGGACTTCCCTCCCTTCCTTCCCGCCATCACCTGGCTGATGCCTGTTTAGACAGGCCAGCCTGGGGCGGGGGAAGCGGGGAGTGGGGGGGGGACGACAGGAAGTTCCAGAGGCCGGGCCCAGCCAGACCTTGGAGTCCTTGAGCCCCACGTTCCTGGGGGAGAGGGTGAAGTTCAGGAAGCCATCCCGGTGGGGCCTCCCCGTGGCGGGTGCTGAAGCTGGCAGGTGCGGGGCTGCCTGGTTGTATGGGTTTCAGCCAAGGTCAGCTGGGGAGCACCGGAGTGCTCACCGCAGTTCACCCTCCTCGGCCACACCTTTTCCACATCAACTTCCGGAGGTCCGCCGGCCGGGCGGCCTTGTCTCCATCGTGAACAAGCAAAGGGGGGCCCAGTGAGATTGGGGCGCTCCGTGAAAGCCACACAGTTTTAGTGTAAGGTGACCAGGCGTCCTGCTTCTGGCAGGACAGTTCCGATTTTTAACAATTTGTCCCGCGCCGAAACTGGTTTGACTCGGTGGATAGAGCGTCGGCCTGCGGACTGAAAGGTCCCAGGTTCGATTCTGGTCAAGGGCATGTCCCTGGTTGCGGGCACACCCCCAGTGGGGGGAGGGGTGCGTGTGCAAGAGGCAGCTGATCGATGTTTCTAACTTTCTATCCCTCTCTCTTCCTCTCTGTAAAAAAAATCAATGAAATATATTTTTTAAAAAACAAACAAAACAATTTGTCCCGCATCCTGCGGCATTTTAAAAAACGCGGCAGGACGTGGGCCAAGTTGTTAAAAATCGGGACGTCTGGTCACCTTATTCTAGTGCCAGACGTGGAGCTAGAACCTGAGCTTCCGGACTCCCAAACGGGCACCTGCACTAGGCACCTGCCCTGCACTCAGGCCCTCCGGACGGGCGTGCGGCCCAGTGGGTGCTGCCCTCACGCCTGTCCCGGGCCCACGGCTCCCCAAAGCTGGGTGGACTAAAGAGCAGGCCACACGCCCATGGCGCCCAGGCTGTCACTGGGAGTCAGGGCTCGGGGAGCAGCGGGGCCGGGAAAGGACAGCGGTGTTTGCACTACGCAGCCCGGGTGTGGGGCACCCCTTCCTAAGGTGCCCTCACAGGTCCCTCTGGGAGCGCAGGCAGGGCTTCCCTCGGGGCGTTGTTGTGCCGATTACACGGGAAACGCCTGTGCATGTGCCAGCCCAGCGCCGGGAATGTGATTGTTGACGCTCTCTCATTCCGCCTGCATCCTCAGCCCACTCCTTTATTCCCTTCTATCCGTCTGCCTGGCTGGCGTGGCTGTCTGTCTGTCCAGGGGGTGGGGGTGTATTGGAGCCAGGCGGCCTGGCGTAGAAGCCCAGCTCTCCCACTGCAGCTGTGTGGCGGGCCCGTGTCTCGCCCTCTCTGTGCCGCCGTGTCCTCGGCTGCAGGTCGGGCATCGTGGGGGCGCCTCCCGCCCCGCAGAGGGCGGCTCTGAGACGGTTCGTCCCACACAGCCGGCTTAGGACCGGGCCTCAGGGCTTACTGACAGTCAGGGGCCGGGAACTTCAAAGCGGGGGCGTGCTTTGCCCCAGAGACCATCCTAGGTTGGTTGTTTTTATTTGTTTATTTTTAAATATATTTTGTTGATGTTTTACAGAGAGGAAGGGAGAGGGAGAGTTAGAAACATCGATGAGAGAGAATCATCCACCAGCTGCCCCCTGCACACCTCCTACCGGGGATGTGCCCGCAGCCAAGGTACCTGCCCCTGAGCGGAATGGAACCCGGGACCCTTCAGGCCGCAGACCGACGCTCTGTCCACAGAGCCACACCGTTCTGGGCTTGTTGTGTCTTTAAACAGATCGCGCTGGTGGCTTCTCTTGGCGTGGCAGGAGGCGCCGGCTGTATGTACAGTTCCTCCTCCTGTCTGTCCCTGCGAGGGAGGAGGCTGCAGCGGGGGATTTTCCAAGTGTCAGAGGCAGGGCTTCGGAACTGCGGTTTCGCTTCTGAGTGGGGCCACGCGCCGTCTGAACACCCTGCCCGGAATTCCCCGGGGCAGCCCGGCTGGCCTCCGACCACAGCGATCGCTGTTCTTCGGGGAAATGCTCGGGCGAAACAAAGACGCCGACGGTTCCCGCGTAACTGAACGTGAGCCTGTCTGAGGGAGGGCGGGTGACTGCTCACAGCAGCTCCTGTGCTTCAGGGAGCGGGTGCCGCTTGGAGACAGGAGGGCCTGTCCTCCTGATGGGGTTCCCGCCCCGGAATGGGCACCCCCTGCCCGGTGAGGGCCTGGCAGGACCTCTTGGTCTCCTTAGGGCAGTGGGCTGTGTTCTTTCGGGTCCCGGGGAAAAGCTGGCACCATCAATGCTTGCCTCTAAGAGGAGGGTGCTGGATCGGTAAAGTGAAAGTTGTTTGTCCTGCCCTAACCGGTGTGGCTCAGTGGATAGAGCATCGGCCTGCGGACTGAAGGGTCCCAGGTTCGATTCTGGTCAAGGGCATGTACCTGGGTTGCAGGTTCATCCCCAGTGGGGGGTGTGCAGGAGGCAGCTGATTGATGTTTCTCTCTCATCGATGTTTCTAATTCTCTATCCCTCTCCCTTCCTCTCTATTGTAAAAAAAAACAAAAAACAAACAAACAAAAAAAACAATAAAATATATATATATATATATATATATATATATATATATATATATATATATATTTAAATTGTCCTTTCAAAATCAAAGAGAGACCCCGGTGCCGAGGGAGCTGCAGGTAGATGGGATCTCAAACCCTTGGCGTCTTTGGGCTGCCCAGTGACCACATCCTTGGCAGCACCACCAGCTTCCCAGCAGGCTCTGCTGGCTTGCTGGAGCACCTCTGGTCTCCCAGGAGGGCACAGGGCACAGTATCCGTGTCCCGGTGCTGCCGCCTGCGCGGCCTGAGGAATAGGACCCGCCGTCCCGCAGTTCTGGAGAGGAGGGAGTTGGAGGGGCCGCGGGGGAGAGGCGGTGCGGGCTCGGCCTCTGGCCCTTGGCTGGCAGCCCTGGCCCCGTATCTGCCTCCGTCTCCCGGCGGCATTCTCCTGGTGCCTGTCAGTGTCCGAGTCTCCTTTTCAGGAGGCCGCCGGGTCCCTCCCTGCTCACCTTTGCTAATGACAGCCTCAGGCTGCAGGTTCCAGATAAGGTCTCACGGGCAACTTCCTTCCCCGTGCGGCCTCGAGCCTCGAGGGTTACGTTCATTTTGTTACACAGTCACCAGCTCCCTTTCTGGCAGCCATGGGTGCTCAGCTCGCTTGGCAGCAGGGTCACGGCAGCAGGATGTGGTGTATGCGCGTGAGCAGATCTGGGGGCGGGAAGGGGGGTTACTACCTTGATGTGAAGCAACCCCGAGGAACCTTATTTCCAGGTTTCTCCAGCCAGTCCCTCCCCGCGTTGTTAGGCCACAGGCCTGCCATCTCTGCAGTGTTCCTCCTGTCATTCTTCTCCCCACTCCGCCCGTGTCTCAGCTCGTCCGAGATCATCAGAGTGCCGGCTGGCCCAGTGGTCCCGTGCTCCATACTGGAGTCAGACCGGCTGCAGGGGCCGTCGGATCTGTTTCCGCCGTCTGACGCCAGGGCAGGTTTCCGAGCTTCCGTTCGGAGGTCCTCCACCGGTGCCTCATTACCTGCCCACTGGGTATTTTGTCATCACGGCTCTTCACGTGCAGACCCCGCTCCCTAACTGGCCTCACTGAGCTCATCCCCATGATCCTCCACCTGTAGTCCTCCTTCCCGCTGAAACTTCCTCCCTCTTTTCCCAGACAGCCTCCTGCTCTCCTGCCTCTTAATCTGTTACCTTTGTTTGCCCAGACTCATGTCTATGATCACCTCTTCTACAAGCATTTTATTTTTATTTTTTTAATGTATTTCATTGATTTTTTTTTTACAGAGAGGAAGAGAGAGGGATAGAGAGTTAGAAACATCGATGAGAGAGAATCATCAATCAGCTGCCTCCTGCACGCCCCCTACTGGGGATGTGCTCGCAACCAAGGTATTGTACATGCCCTTGACCGGAATCGAACCTGGGACCTTTCAGTCTGCAGGCCGACGCTCTATCCACTGAGCCAAACGGGTTTCGGTCTCTCATTCATTTTAAATTGTCCTTTTGTGCCTTGAAGAGCCAGCCCTATACTGAGGACGGCCCTCCTACACCACGAGGGAGATTGGGACAGAAGGGAGCACAGGGGAGCAGAGCACGCGCAGGCCGGGGCCAGGGGCATGCTCTGTCTTGCACGGCGGTGTCTTCAGTGTGGAAACTGAGTCTTCACTTTAACCCAGGTGGCACCCAGGACGGGATGAGGAGCACAGGCGGGTTCGGCCAGCATCTGCTGAGCAATCCTCATCCCTCCCTCCGGGTTTGGCTCGACACCATGAACTTGACTGTGTCGTGGGTCCTTCATGGCCCGAGTCCAACTAGAAAGTAGGTCAGATCCAAGTCCTGATGGGCCATCTGGCCACTCCGTGCCAATCTGAGGGGACGGGGGCAGCAGACTTTCAGGTTGGCATTGTAATTAGTCCGGTGTTGAAATAGGATTGCCCAAAGTTACACAGCAGGTTGGCGACCTTGCCCAGAATAGAACAGGTTACTGCTCGTAAGCACTGGGCTAACCCTACCTCCCACCCACTGCAGAGCGACGCGCTGTAAAAACAGGCTTCTCCCGTCATGGCGGCCTTCCGACCGGAACAGTCTGTTCTCAGAATCTGGCCAAGGATCCGTGTTGTTATTTGGATACATGTGTGGCAGCCGAGGCTGCGGAGGCTTGGGCACATAGCGGGTTGTTCTGGGTTAAGTTGCAGGTGGTGGTGGACAGAGCATTAGCAGTGGCACGGGGTGCGGCCTTCTGAGGTTGGGTATGACTATCAACAAGGGCTCTCCAAGGAACAGAAGCAGTAAAATATGAATAATATAGATTATACCAGCCGAAACCGGTTTGGCTCAGTGGATAGAGCATCGGCTTGTGGACTGAAAGGTCCCAGGTTCGACTCCAGTCAAGGGCATGTACCTTGGTTGCGGGCACATCCCCAGTAGGGGGTGTGCAAGAGGCAGCTGATTGATGATTCTCTCTCATCGATGTTTCTAACTCTCTATCCTTCTCTCTTCCACCCTGTAAAAAATCAGTAAAATATTTTTTTACAATAAACTCTCCAATGTTTATTTAAATTAAATATATATATATGTGTGTGTATGTGTGTATTATACCAATATAACATGAAGATATGATACACACACACACACACACACACACACACACACAAATATATATACATACGATTGAATTCAAGGCATTGGCTGCCATGGTTGTAACGGTTGGCAAGTCCAAACTCAAGGCAGCTGGGAATTCAGCAGGCTGGAGGCAGGACTTCCTCTCCCTCAGTTTTGCTTCCAAGGCCTTCCACCTGATCGGATGCAGCTCACTCCGATTATCGAAAATGATCTCGTTAAAGCCAGCTGTTGACTATAGCTGTCCACCGCAGCCACCGGATTCCTCCAGCACCCGGGCTGGTGTCTGGACTCCCAGACAGCCTCCCGCACGCCACATCGGCACATAGTACTGATGGTCACACCCCGCCCGCTCCTTCCTCCCGGCGCCTTTGTGAGCGAGACCCTTCCGGAGGGGCCCTGGCGGGGCTCGCAGCTGTGCGCTAAGGGCTGGTACCTGTTAGTCCAGGTCACAGCTCCTGGCACGTTACAGTTCAACAGGCGATTTGCCCTTATTGCCCAGAGCGGGGGTTGAATCGCCAGGAACTCCTGTCCCGCTGGGTCATTCTGGAACTTGCTTGGGGGTGTCAGGAACCCTTCAGCCGCCGGGCTGGGAAATCCTTCGGGAAACGACTGACCAGAATGGGGATGTTCCAAGCGGGATGATCAGACTGAAGAGGGAACAAGGCCACCAGCTCAAAATATCTGAAGAGCTGCGATGGGAAGGAGGTCTCAGGCTCCGGAGGAGGCAGAGCCGTTCCGGAAGTTTCTCCGTAGACATTCCTGAACTATAAGGACTCTCTTTAAAAAAATACATTTTATTGATTTTTCACAGAGAGGAAGAGAGAGGGATAGAGTTAGAAACGTCGATGATAGAGAAATATTAATCAGCTTGCTTCCTGCACACCCCCCACCGGGAATGTGCCCCCAACCAGTGCACATGGCCTGGCCAGAACTGAACCCGGGACCTTTCAGTCCGCAGGCCGACGCTCTGTCCACTGAGCCAAACCGGTTTCGGCTATAAGGACTCTTGTATTATATAACCATAATGCCACTAGTACATCTAGAAAATCAGTAATTCTTGCCCTGGTTGGTTTGGCTCAGTGGATAGAGAGAGCGTTGGCCTGTGGACTGAGGGGTCCAGGGCATATGCCTGGCTTGTGAGCTCAATCCCCAGTTGGGGGGGGAGGGGCGGTATGCAGGAGGCAGCCAATCAGTGATTCTCACCATTGGTGTTTCTATCTCCCTCTCCCTCTCTGAAATAATTTTTTTTTTTAATCAATAATTGTTGGTATTATAAAGCATGCAGTCCGTATTCAGATTCCCGGTTATGGCATGAGCAGCTTTCCACAGGTGGTTTGTTGGTCTCATGATCCAAACAGACTCATTCCTTGCATGTGGTCAGCTGTTCTGCGTGGTAAGGGGATCTTCCCAGGGTCTCGTGTGTGGTGGTGGGGGTGGGGGGGACGCAGTGTGGAGCAGGTGGAGCCAGTGTGGGGGCAGTGGTGGTTCCGGCGGGACGCAGCATTCATAGATGGCTCCCCGGAGGGACTTCATGGCTGGCTTCTTGCAAGAGCGGACAGGGATGGGGACCCAGAGACCAGCAGGCAGGAGTGCGAAGAGGGGAGCTGAGTGAGGTGAGGAGGCAATCTGCCCCCCCTCCCACGGGTGAACCTGCCCGAAGCCAGCCAGCGCAGGAGCCAGCACAGGAGCCCCCGTTCTCAGGGGTCAGCTTCTAGGGGACACCCCAGGCTCTAGGAGTGCAAACAAAGAGCAAGACAGCGCCCGAGAAATGGCTCTGAAGCAGAAGCGCCTGCAAGCGGCTACCAAATCCCGATTCTCTCATGTGCCCGCTGTGTGACTTATGGGCAAGCGGCTGGAGCTCTCCGTGCCTCAGTTTCCCCTTGAAGGATGCCGAGCAACTTCATGGAGATAATGTGTGTGATGCGTGGCCCACAGCGAGCGCCCCATAACCCCGAGCTGTAATCATTACAAACCGCCCTTAGAAACCACCCAGGCCAAACAGGGCACCCTCTCCATCCGGCTGCCCGGTCTCCGTAGACCGGTGACTCCAGCTTGCCACCAGCCTGAGCCCCTGGCCTTCACCCTCTCCCTCTGCAGTCCTCTCTCATGGGCACCACTCCTCTGTCTTCCAAGGTTCCTCCGACCGGAGGCCAGAGCAGGTCCAGCCCTCCGGCCCCCGGAAGAGTGAGGGGCAGGCCCAGCGAAGGCTTTTCCCCACCAGCCCGCCATCACCCTCCTTGGGGCCCAGCGCAGACTCGGGAGCCAGGCTGCCAGGTAGCAGAGCTTGGGGGGTAGCAGAGCTTGGGGGGCAGCAGAGCTTGGGGGTAGCAGAGCTTGGGGGCTCAGCAGAGCCTGGGAGGGTAGCAGAGCTTGGGGGGTAGCAGAGCTTGGGGGGTAGCAGAGCTTGGGGGGCAGCAGAGCCTGGGGGGGCAGCAGAGCTTGGGGGCAGCAGAGCTTGCGGGTAGCAGAGCTTGGGGGGCAGAGCAGGGAGAGGAGAGGCGGCTCCTCTCTCCCACCTCCCCTGCCCTCACCGCCTCGGCAAGCCTCCCCTGGGCCTGTGTGGGGCAGTGGCTACGTGACTGAAGGGCCGAGGACACAGTCATACCCTCCCAGCCCAGTGGGAAGAAACAACCCAAACAACTCATTTCAGACAGAAGACAGTAAGTGCCACGAGGGAAAACCTGAGGCCATGGAACCAGATCCAGGAGTGCCTGGGGCCGCACGGAGAAGGGGGTCCGAGCGGAGGGGAGACGTGTCTTCCCGGCAGAGCGCCGTGTGGGGGCCTTCCCAGCAGGGCCAGTTCAGGACACATCACTGGGGTTCTCGCTGTGATCAGACCCCCGGCTCACGGGCTTATGATGGCTTCCTGTGGCAAGCTTGGAAACTGTTTTTTTTTGAGTCACAGCCTCACAAGAGTATCACCTGAGTCCACATAAAAAGTAGCTTAATGATGGGTTTCGCATACCCAGGCTGCAAATTAGAAGCATGGGCCACAGCTCGGCCGGGTACTTGTAAAAACACATGCACTCTGTGTCTCGGCCCCATGTCGCCGAGTGGAGGGAAACGGGGAGGGAGAACAGTAATCACAAGCCACCGGCGGCTGGCAGCCTTTCTCCCGCCGTTCTGTTCGGGCGGCCAGCAGTTGGGCATCAGTGACAACGCTTGAGACCCAAGCAGCAGCTGGAAGGAGTAGTGATGTCTGGTCAGCATCTTAAAACGTAAAGAGTGCTTTTTCTCAACTGATTTCTTAAAATGTGGAACAGAAACTATCTTCTCACAGACGAGTACACGGAGGGCCCACGTGGCCCGGAGTCACACAGCTGGAAAGAGTAGGACGAGCCTTTTTAACAGCAGTTTTGGGGCCTTCGCCCTCCTAGCTGCAAGGCGTGGGGTAGGGTTTGCAGGCTCTGCCAATTACCCTGAGTGGCCAGATTACTGTGATCTCTGAACGCATAATAATCTGGCCACTCAGTGCACATCCTCCTATATAATAAAAGGCTAATATGCAAATTGTCCCCTCGACCAGGAGTTCGACCAGCAGGCAGGCCGGCCAACCACCATGTCCCCTCCCCCTGGCAAGGCTGGCCGGGCCCCACCCGTGCACAAATTCATGCACCAGGCCTCTAATATATATAATACACACACACACACACACACGAGTGGCCAGATTATTAAACGTTCAGAGATCATAATCTGGCCACTCAGTGTGTATCACAGGCGTCACAGTCCTTTTCCCTAAGTGGACATAGTGTTGAACCCGCCCCCCCCCTCCCCCCGCTGCTGTAAACGGGGAGGGGAATGCGGAGACTGAGCGGAGGGGCAGAGCGTTTATAAGGAAGTAACCAGGCAGCTGCCGCTGTGGCAGGAGGAAGGAGACGGGACTGACCCGAGGCAGAAGCCGGGCTGTGACGCGGGCCGTGGAACCAGGAGCTTTGGGGCTGACGTGGCCCACATCCC